GCGCGAGTGCATTACTTTTATTTGCGTAGACTGAACTGAGCTGAACATCAAGCTAACACCCTGCTCTTCAGGTTTTGTTTGTAACCATTTATCCAAAATCTAACAAAACATTATAGAATGACAGAAATAAACAATTCACAAGAATTTGAAGGACAAGCGAAACAGGAAGGATGCACTTACTTTCATCATGGGGCTTGAATTCTTCTTGTAAACAATCTAAAAACAAAAGAATATATTTGGTATACCACTCTTGGATAAGACAATTCGAATTCACAAGCATCAGGCATTGTACATAGTTTCTTGTCTTTTTATTGCTAAACAACTATTTTATCCTTGTTGAGGATTATCAGTAGTGCATCAAGCTTGTGACGGCTCCAGTCTGGATGCTCATGGTTCAGTCCCAAATGTAGGTCACCAGGCCAGGCTCCAGCGGTTGATTTTCACCTCAACACGATAATGAACTGGAACCCATCTACATCAACACTTGATGTATAACACAAAAAAAAGGAATCGCGTCCTATGCAAAGCAAAGGATGCGTGAAGCGAAAGGCAGAGAAGCACTGTGCACGTTAGGAACTGTCAGAATTGCTACTCTATCGATTCAATCAGGAGTGGCGGTTGTCAACGAGGTTCAGTCGCTAAAACCGGTGTGCTTTGGGTTATAAGTTTCTAGACTCAAAATCTGCCGCCGTTAACCAACCTCGGTGGCAGGCGGTGCACCTAACCTGGTGGTGGTTGATGTGTTTCACCACTCCGTATGAAACCTTGAGTTGTCGATTACCGTAGCNACCGGATTCGCACTCTCTACTGTCTACCACACAAGAATGTGTAGTGAAAAAAGATCAAATCAGGAACCACAGAGAACTTTTCCAAAAAAGGGCCACCTCGAGATCGGAGAACGGACCTGATAAAGACCACTATCCAGACGGAAGAAGAAACCCCTTGTTTATTCGTGTTAGTTCAAAGGGCAAACTGGGTAGAAAACAACGGGAATATGGGGCGAAGAAGTTGCTCTGAATTATACATACATAAGCGAATGGGTAGAAATGTAACACCGCCACCCTAGAAGCACTCAAAATTTCACCGGCTGGTGATGAGTCGATACCAATCGAGACTCAAGAACTCATTTTCAATACTTTGTTAGGGGACATTATTTCGAAATGATGTTCACTAGCCGTCAGAGACAACGTCGGCACCCATTGGGTGAATCGGTGCTGTTGAACAAAAGACAAGTTCTTAATTCAATTGCATAGTGGTCAAACATTTTGCAACACATTACTGTATGATGAAAAGCAGAAATGGCCCGCGGGATGGCTTGGAGGGTCCTCTGCCAATTACAGGTCCTAAATCCATCTACGGAACTGAGATATACTCCAGAATAGTGCTTCAGTTTACTCCGCATTACCCACTTAATGGCGCAATTGAAAAGCACCGGTAAAAGTGGGAAACTTCATTAGGCCAAGGGCTGAGAGTGAATAAATCCGACCATTGTCCGTCAGAGTACTAGAGGGTCATAGCAACACGCTCCGAAAGTTTACACCAGTTTGGGGGCATCTCGTCAGCGACGATGACTTTACGCACACACGAAAAAATCAACAGACTGAATTGAAGGCTGAAAGCAAATCAACGAAAAAGGCCGTTGCCGGTTGTCGGAATTTATAGCGATGTTCCGAAATTCTTCACTGACCGGGGGTTTACTGGACAGATCCTATTCCACAAGAGAAACCCCGTTGGCTGAGACAAGTGTCGTTATCCTTAGCAAATTGCGCATTGGTTCAGAAATAGCACCACAAATGCTTTGGCATTTGTGAATAAGGATGACTCCTCTATAGTCTTTGCATTCCGTTTTTGGAAGGTTAGAAAGGAGGACTTAGGTAGTCCTCTCCTTGGAAATTGATTCCGTTTCCCAAAGTAAAGCAAACAGTAATTCAAGAAGCTTCTCGAATTACTGTCTACTTCTCTGCATAAATATAGATTCTAGTATTTTCAATCAATGGAATCTAACAAGAATCCACCAATATGTAATCACTCCGGCAGTCGACAGTGCACCATGTTAGTAGGCCTTGAAATGTCAAAACCTGGGATGGATTATCTTTAGTCAATTACGACACGGGAACAGGATTCGGTGTCGCATTGCCTAATGAGTCTGAAACATTGAAAAGCACGAAGGGTACACCCATCTAGTGATCCAGTGTGTGCATTCCAAGTACCTGTGAGTATGGCTGATGACGTTTCGTAGTTGACTATAAAAATCACCGACAATGGTATCAACTGCCAGGATTACCGTCGTACCCATACGACGGGTAGGTTCAAAGAGATATCTTTGAATCGAACAGATTCCGTGATATCGTAGCTTTGCTGATCACATTAATCACAAAGATCGCTACTCCAAGATGACCAACCATCCTTTGGACGGTTGTAGGTTGTATCCACATTAGATACTTGTATTTTCTGTGCTCAATTTGCTATGCGCGCCTCGGATAGGCAAGAAATGTCTACTCCACAGTTGTGAAGTGAGGTCATAGTCACACACTCCCGGTATCTAGCAGGGTTCTGGCATTTAAAATGTTCCTGCATGCCTCTCCTCTGGTTCGAAAGTTGANGCTGGATCGACACTCCGGTTGCAAGGGAGCACGAAGCACGTCACTTCCTGAGAACGCGTTGCATTTTTTCTATTACCACTCCTGTGTGATGAACAACTGATGGGGTAAACTGCTCATAAAAACCGATAACCCAAGCCCCAGGAGCTGGGGTTGCAAACCACACAAAACCCCGCTAAGATAGGCGTGATATTGAACCGAACGGTAGTGATGCTACCCAAATCGGATGGTGGTGGGATTCGAATATCAAACCCTGAAGAAAGGAAACCAGTGACAGTGACTCTAACCGCTTGACCACCACCACCATATGAGCAGGAAGAATACTAAACCCAAAATTCATGAAGAAACGTGGGAAACTTGTAAGGAATTGCATCAGTGTTGCTATTGTACTTTGTTCGTGGGGTCATCCCTAGTTCATGAATAGCCAATATTCCCTTAAGGTGTCCTCTCTAAAGGAATAAACCTCATATTCATCTTGTAACCAAGACAAGGGGCACTGATCTTCAGTGGTGAGTTGTACTCGCACAGTACATGATACCGTTTTCGGATGTACATGCAAATTTTGAGATCGGTAGTCACTAAGTCCTCGAGCATCACTGCTAACCGTCCATGACAGTTCTTTTGTAGGCTGGTGCTCGTCTATTCCGGGTAAACCGCCTAGATGATCGTACTCTTCTATTCGACCTGGAGACATATGACAGTATTGAGCCCTCCTTTATCAGTTCGAATGTTTTGCTCAGCATCCGACGAAGTTCCTAATACTAATATCCAACATAGCTATTAGCCGATCAAACCGTGCGGGTTCCAAGTTAACCCCAGGAATACCGAAACAATATTGAATGGAGTTGTCTCCGAAAGTCTCATTATGCTAGGGGGTGAGTGTCTCGCGTTGCGGTTGGCCATCTTCCCTGCACCTAGCTTCCATACGACCAAGTGTCTCAAATAGCTTCTGTTGAGGAAAGCGTAATGTTGTGATTTTATTAGGCTTTGGATCGTTATATCACGGTATCACTGTTTACTGATAATGTAGATTTTTATCTTTCTACTGTAGCCGTTGTACCTACATTGTTAGATTATTTTGTTTTGTTCAAGAACCTTTGCTTTGTAACGCATATTTAACAAAAGATACATCGAAACGCATGGGATCAGTTGTACCGAACAGAACTACTCACCTTTAGGAAAATCTTTCAGCACTCGATCACGACAGAAATAATCCAGTAAGTCGACCTCACCCTGAAGATTATAAAACCAATCTTCCAATGCATCTTCAAATGCGGAAACCATGGAATAACACTAGGATTAGAGTTTAGTGAAAGCTGTAAGTGGCTCACCTGTTTCGTTAATGATGAAATTTCGACTGACGGTTTATCCCACATATCCAGCGGAACATCCAACTGCACAGTAACACCCCGATCACTACCAACAAGAGTGAGGTGTCAACACACAAGAAGGAAACACCTACGCCAAATCAGTCAACGACTTTTGTGTTTCTGAGATGGTTTTATCAAAGCGATTACAACCTTGACGTTCTTTGTGTAATTTGTATTTTAACATTCTATGACAAAGCGGAGGATCCTGAAGTACCTCGATAAAGCGTAGTTCCCTGTTTATTCGAACGTTCATCGGTAATTGATTTACGTAAACGGACCAACTCACGATCTGTCATATTTGATCTTGCGAAGCGCAACTCCGCTATCGCCCAATGTGATGTAATCACTGGAATTCGTTTCTTGAAGTCTCAGGAGAAACTCGTGCACAAACACACGACATACTGAAATATCCTTCAATTGGACACTCATTGGAACTTTTACCTTCACATTTTGTCGGCAATTCTATGCCATGATCCATTGCGGCCGAGACAATTGAAAGCATATTGAAAAACGGAAAGATCATAAGGCATGTAAAATCCGTTTTTCTAATCTTCATGCTCGTAACGGACTTGACGGAAAAGCTATAAGAGAAAACTATGATGAATAACGTCATTGTTCCTCCAAAAGTAAATCCAAAACGAATAATTCACCATTATGAAATCATTGCACGGAATCCGGCTGCGTTTACGACTGTGCGAAAAAGTAACTGAACAGAGTGGTGTATTTTACATCTTGAAATCCGAACACATCCGCTCGAATTGGCAAGATTTTCTGGATGGTTTAATTGCTAGTGTAGCCCCGTTCGGTACGCGTTTTCCACATTTAAAGTACAAGATGTTAGAAGATACGGTTGACCGATCTAACAACCCCACTATAACTGTGAAAGTAGTAGTAAACAAACTTCGCTATTTCGGAAGCTATATCTTACCTGGCAGACGCGTCACAGATGAAGCGTCGACATACATACAGAAGGCTCAATTGGCATTTGCCAAATTGAAACATCTATAATGCCGCCGTGAAGGGTCCAGTATATGCTGCAGCAGTGACGCCAGTCCTGCTCAGAGACTTGACCAACACGGGAAGAGAAGGAAATTAGACCGTCGGTGTTC